GATTGATTGCGTATGTGATTCTGTGTATATATGCATTACTTGTGTATGGGAGGAGATGGGGGATGTACTCCACGGTTTAGAGGAAGATGGGGGATGTACCTCTAAGCTGGTTAATGGTTTAGGGGAAGATGGGGTATGTACCTCTAAACTGGCTAATGGATTCTGGGATGCAGCTCATATGCTCTCCCGTTGAAGGGTAGATATAGCTCATATGCTTGTCTAGTGAGGTGTAGATATAGCTCATATGCTTGTCTAGTGAAATGTGGATATAGCTTATATGCTTATCTGTGGATATTGTGTTATACATATCTGTTGTAGAATGTGGATATAGCTTATATGCTTATCTGTGGATATTGTTGTTATATATATCTGTTGAAAATGTGGGTAGTGCTTATATGCCTATCTGTTGAAAAAGGGAAAATGAAAAGTAGTTTAGACTCATAAGTCGTATGACATAAATATGTAATTTATGTGATTGTATCAGTGTTGGCCATCTATCAATTGCTAATCTTTTAGTCATTGTTCATGGCTGGTTTAGTATATTTCTACTGGGCTGTGGCTCACCCTATATGGGAATATCATTTTCAGGTACAGGAAGCATGTCACCTCCAAAGACATAGCTTGGGAGGCTAGAGGCGGACATACTTTGGTCGTATTACTTTTGATGTATTACATGTAAATTCAAGCCAAGGGCTTAATGTGTATGAGTTAGTACTCTTTTTGTTGTAACCAAGTGTTAACTTGTAAAGCTGTAAGCCCGTAGGGCATTTTGCTTTTGTTGTTAACATGTAATACTTATGTAATGAAACTCTCATGAATGAAAGAATGTGGAACTTTTGTATATCAATGCATGTCTTATTTAATGGGTTTAACGTTATTTTTTTTGAGGGCGTTACACCGAAAGTATCTCGAATGTATCCCTGAAGTATCCTCGCGTATCCTAAACGTATCCAAAATTCAAAAAATAAAATAAAATAAAATAGGATATTCTTTTGCCGTATCTGATACTATCCCCCCGTATCGGACGCGTATCCGTATTCCTATCCGATACGTATCCAACACGCATACGGGAGCCATTTCGAAGTATCCGTGCTTCATAGGACCCAACATATGGATTGATAACATCTAAGAGGTTTCGAAACTAATAGTTAAAGAGGAGCAAACTCTTAAGTCACAAGTGTACATCACTAGGCCAATCCCTAGGAGTTGTCAGTTATGTTATTTTGTGACAAAAGTTATGGATTAATGAATTTATGGTACACATCTTTAAATGATAGCATGCACTATCATCACTATATTATGAAATGCATGGTAAGTGGTAAGAAAGGATAATGCACACTCTAAAAAAGTGCACATAGTTAAAAAAAAAGGTTTTGATTTTTTGTATTGAAAATTATGAATGTTTGTGGTGTTATACTAACTTATGGTAAGTTATGAGTAATAAATTTATGATGTGAACCCTAAAATTACAAATGATAAGAAAAGTTACGACCTAATTCTAGATTCATTTTTATTTTTTATTGATGGTAGTAGATTCATGAATGGAAGGAGTTGTAATACAATTTAAAATCTCAATGGCTAGATGTAATTTTCATAACATGAGCTAGTTAAATGTATTTTTTAATGGTGTATTTGCAATTAAACCCTTTTCCACAAAAATTAATAGCACGTTTGATTCGGTAAAATAAGTCAAACATTCCATTTTTGTATTTCCTTTTTGTTTTGTTTAGTATATTTTATTCTCATTCCAATAAAAAGTAGACAAAAATACTTTTTCCTTCTCCTGAACGGGGTGGGCAACAATTTCCTTCTCCTTATTCTGTCATTGTCATGACTCCTTACTTGGCCAGATCCTTAAGCTGTATGTGAAAATTTGGGTAAACAACTAGTGACCCAAACTTTATTGTTTGGACTGTAACACTGATAAACGACTCATCGTTAGTAATTCTTCTTATAATTTCCATTTTCTCTAAATAATCAGAGTCCTGGTGAACTTCAAAAATCTCAGCGGTTACAATTATCCCATATTGAACCTTATAGTTCTCATCATAAATAAACTATATATATGCCAAATGAAAACAAAAAGAAAGACTAAAATGATGAGAGTCTACTTATACATGGCTGATAGGTCAAGATCTAATCTTTAATGTTGTTAACTCTATTTAACAAGGATGGGGTTTTTTTAAGGCCCAAATGACTAATTTGTAAGGGTTGAGAATTGACTTGTACAAAAATCTGAAACAGAAATAAACAAAATCTAGAGCAAACTGAAAAGTTGACGCAAGCATGATCAACTGATTATGATAACCAGCAACTTGACAAAATCAATAATCAACTAATTATCATGGTCATCCAACTTAACAAAATTAGTTGATGTTCTGTAGTGGATGCATGCATTAGACATAAGGAAGCGGGACTCGGGAGACACCCTTTTTGTATAGCTGGAAAGCATCACCAAGCAAAGGATATACATGGACAACATATAAATCAGAGAGACGGAAACTCACAAAACACAAAACGCAATATGTAATGTAGCATACTATGAAGCACGGACATCTCTACGAGGGCAGCGTATCAGTGTCGGACACATGTCAGACACAGACACGCGTCGGATACGCGGTGGACACAGTGTCCGACATGCAGCAGAGAGTGTCCGAATTTTTTTTTTTATTTTTTGGCAGTCAGACACGTAGTGGACACGTAAGCGGACACGATCGGGACATATTCGGGGTCAATTTCATAATTTATGAAACTTCTGTGGGGGTCAATTTGTAAAAAACAAAAACCAAACAATATCTAACCCTAAATCGAGAGAGAGAACAGAAAAGAAAGAGATAACAGAGAGGAACCTAGTCGTCGGTGGTCTTTCGTCGTTCGTCAGTGGTCATCGCTCGCTGCTGTTGCAGTTATCTAAGGCTTCTTCATCCTTCTTCGTTCTTCTTTTTCGATCTTCTTCTTCTTCTTCTTCTTCTTCTCTCTCTCTCTCTCTCTCTCTCCTCCTCTAATTTGAGCTTTTATTTTGTTTTTTCTTTTTTCTTTTCCTTTTATATGGTCAGGGTAAATCATCACCTGTCTCTCTCTCTCTTCTATTTTGAACTTCTATAATTTTTTTTATATCGATGAAATACAATTTTATACTATTTGTATTTTTAAATATTTATTTTTATAATTTTAATAGTGTTATTTTGCATTTTTTATTATCTTTTAATATATTTTTTAATTATATTTATTGAACGTGTCCCCAGTGTGTCGCGTCCCTTATTTTTTGAAAATTTGCATGTCCCCCGTGTTCGTGTCGTGTCCATGTCATGTCACGTGTCCGTGTCCGTGTTTCATAGGTAGCATATGACATGAGATGGCTTTGCAAGAGACAATAAGAACGATAACAAGAGCAATGTTACATGAGAAAAGAATATGTTATATCCCCATATTTGCATTTTTTACCCTTTGGCTCAGCATGGAATATGGGCACGGAGTCTTATAGCAAGTGCAGATGCAGAAACTAAGCAACAAAGGCGAAAGAACTCTTACCTTCAATTCTGCCTCTGGCAAGCTTTATGAAGATCCCATGCTGACATCATAGGGCAGCACATATCATATCTTCCCTGTAATTAATCAAGATTACTTTCTCCTCAAAATCAGGCAGTGAACTTAAATAGAGAGAATCTTTAGAAGGAGACACTTCATGCTGCAATGACAATTTGACAGTAGCAAATATGACATGCAATTTGATATTTTGTGAGGACAAACACCTGATATGTTTTTTTTTAGATAAATAAAGTTCATTACCACAGCACCAAGAAGATGCTAAGAGAATACAGAGAGAAACCTGCAAAACAAAGACCTAACCAACTACATCATCTACAAAATCTAAGATAACAAATAAATCTGGATTCACCCTTCCCGACACCCAGCTGTACAAAACACCCAAAAACCGAGACTCAAAACAAGTAATGGATTGAGCACTTCCTTGAAAAATCTGACAATTCTGCTCCAACCAAAGCAACCACATCAAACACAATAGAGCTAAAGCACAAGCCTTCCGTCTTCGCTTCCCAACTCAACCACCCCGCCAACAATGAAGAACCTCCCTGACTTGCTTCGGCTGAAACCACACCACTCCAAACAAAGGGAAAACAAACACCCACAAACGAGAAGCAAACGAACAGTGAATCAGCAAATGGTCCACTGTTTCCGCATCCACACAACATATGTAACACCAATTAACCAAAATATGATGCCGACAGATCAAATTGTCAACAGTCAAGATTCTACCAAAAGCTGTTGTCCACACAAAGAAAGCCACTTTCGACGAAACACCAGGGACCCACACAGAACGCCAAGGGAAAACCCCCCCTTCACCACCACACAAGGACAAATAAAAAGACGAGATTGAAAAAACACCTTTAGCCCCTGGAACTCCCCAAACCAAAACATCCGCCCCTTTCCGCCCACTCGGAACCCCATATAAAAAGGCTAACAAATCCACCAACTGCACCCAACCTCCAAATCCTGCGTATATCGATGAAGAACAATAAACCAACCCATCACCTCCTCCAGCTAAATAAGATACCACCAACGTATCAAGATCCACCACCAAATGGTAAATCAAAGGAAAACGCTATTGAAGGGTGACATCCCCACACCACTTATCCTTCCAAAACTGCACCCGAGTTCCATTGCCCACCCGAAACTAGACTCGATCACAGAACTGGACCCTACCTAGCCAAATCCCCTTCAATAACCCATACCCAAAAGAACCCCCCACCACCTTAGTACACCATTCTCCTCGCCCCAACCCATACTTGGAAGCAACCACCCTGCGTCACAAGTGATCCCGTTCCTGAGAAAACCTCCATAGCCACTTCCCCAACAAAGCCAAATTAAACCTACACAGCCTACGCACCCCCAACCGCCTAGCCGTCTTAGACCAACAGACCTGTTCCCAATTAATGAGATGATACCGAAACTCTCCACCATCACTTCCCCACAAAGTCGCGCTATAACTTTTTCAACCGACGAGCCACCGACACAAGAATGACATGCACTGACATAAAATAAGTCGGAATGCTACCCAACACACTCTTCACCAAAGTTAGCCTCCCCCCTTTCGATAGATACTGCCTCTTCCATCCTGCAAGCCGGCACTGAACCCGTTCCAACACCCCATCCCACACCCCCTTCGTCTTAAAAAGAGCCCCCAAAGGCAGCCCCAAATAAGACACCAGCAAATGAGACACCTTACAGCCCAAAATAGCTACTAAAGACGGAAGTTGAACAACCTCCCCTACTGGAATCAACTCTGACTTCGCCAAATTGACCTTCAGACTGGAGACCACCTCAAAGCATAACAAGACACATCACAGATACCCTAACTGCTTTGGATCAGTCCCCCACAGAAAATCAAAGCATCATCAGCGTACAACAGGTGAGAAACACCAACCCAAGATTTTAAAAAGCGGCCGCAACCGTTACGTAACGCCGTTACGTAATGGTTCTGGCGGTTACCACCACCCGTTACGGCCGCTTTTGCAGTGTGATTGAGATTCACAGGTGTGTCGGCCGTAGCGGCTACCATAGCGGTCGTAACAGTGCCGTAATGGCCTGTTACGCACTGTTACGTAACGGTTTCAAACTGTTTCTTTCGAAAAAACACACCAAAAAAAGCTAAAAATAAGGGAAGAGGGATAGAGAGAAGAGGGAAGCTAAAGAGAGAAAATGGAAGAGCAAGAGATAGAGAGAGAGAGAAGAGGAAAGAACATGTTATTGATTCAGCTGCTATTCTATTCCCGAAAGATGAAGAACATGTTATTGATTTGTTGAAACTGTAAGACCTATGCTATTCTATTCAACTGCTATCACTAAATCATTTTGTTTGTGTGTGTCTATCTATATATTGTTTGATAATAATAATAATAATAATAATAATAATAATAATAATAATAATAATAATAAGTGTGGTCATTATCTATTTAGTTTGGTTAAAATATGTATGTATATATATATATATATTTAGGTTCTTATTTATTCTCTTACTTTTGTCATTATTTATCTTATATATAATAATTAGTGATTGATTTTTTGTATAATATAAAGTTATTAATTATTAAAATAAAATGTAAAAAACTCAGTTTATAATGATTTAAAAATATGAAATATATTGGATCATACTTAAAAATTTACAAAAATTGATCAATATTTATTTTTAACCCAATATATATGATCATGAAAAAAAAATATGCGTATCGGTAAGTTTTTTTCAAATTGTGCGAAAAATAAAAAAATTCACGGTTCCGGTTACCGCAACCGTTACACTACGGCCTTTACACCCCGCAACTGCAACTGCGTCACCGCCACCGTTACGGCGACCGCAACCGCTTTTCAGAACCTTGCACCAACCCCATCTGCCACCAAAAAACCCTCCAACAAGCCCTCCTGCACCGCTGGAGACAACAACCGAGTCAACGCCTCCATGACAAGGATAAACAACAAAGGGGACAATGGATCCCCTTGCCGTAATCCCCAAAACGTCTAGAAATAACAAGCCGGCGTCCCATTCACCAATACTGACATCCGCACTGTCGAAATACAAAACCAGACCCACCACTTCCACCTTTCCCCAAATCCCATCCGCTCCATAACAGCCATCAAAAAATCCCAACTGACATTATCGTAAGCCTTCTCAATATTCAACTTACAAATCACACCTGGCTGACCATCCTGTAACCGAGAGTCCACACATTCGTTGGCCACTAAAACTGCATCTAAAATCTGACGACCACCCAGAAAAGCATGCTGGGATTCCGACACTACCTCCCTCACCTGCAACCGCAACCTATTAGTCAAAACTTTCGCCAACAACTTGTACACACTACCCAACAAACTAATAGGACGAAACTGTCGAATATCCTCAGCCCCATCGACCTTAGGAATCAAAGCAACAAAAGTCGAATTGAAACTCTCCCCAAACTGGCCCATCTGATAAAACTGTGACATTACTGCCATCACATCCCCCTTTACAACCTCACAACAATGCTGGAAAAAAGCCATTGTAAAACCATCCAGATCAGAGCCTTATCTCCACTCATCCCCTTCAAAGCACCCACCAGCTCTCGTTCTGTATACGGCTGGTCCAACCTATCAGAATCCGAAAGCATACCAAAATCCAGACCAGCAACTCCCGAACGCCACCCTTCATCCGGCTTCCTGAACAAATGCTCATGAAACCCAACAATCCCCATCCAAACCTCCTTCGCGTCTGTCAACTCCACCCCATTAACCCGAATCTCCCACTGAAACGCAACATACTCTAACTCCTCTAAAAACATTCGCTGCTCCACACCCTGCACCAGCCCATACACCCCTGTAAACACCCAACGAAAACCATCCTCCACACATCTGAACAAACAGGACACTGAGAAAGCCCCAACCTCTGTCTCCTCTCTCACCACCACCCTACTATCCCAACAGACCAGAACCCCTCCTGCCACACCTGACGCCAGAAGTAACACTCACATATCTTCTTAATAACATCCCTACCCAGACACTCCATTTTGGTCTCCTGAATACAAACCACATCTGCTTTCACATTTCTCAATAACGCTCCCACCGCCACACGCTTCCCCTTGTTATTCAACCCACCCACATTCCATGATAAAACCTTCAGTCTCATTTCAACAAAAGTTGTTTCTCCCTCTCAAGCGGCTGAAGAAGCCTCAAGTTGGCAGTGGCCTCAGTCCCTGACACGCCCAAAACATCAGATGTATCATCCGCCAAATCCTTCCACCTTTCCGGCACTTGCAACTGCAGACCAACCACAACCTGTGCCTTTCGCAGCGAAACCACCGCCCAAGCCTCACTATCCTGAACCTCCTTCGGATGAATTGATGGCTCTCCCTCTATCTGACTTGTCGGCCCCTTCGGAAGCTGTTCATTTCTCTCCCGACAGCCATCGCCATCTCCATCTCCCAACACCAAGTCATCAGCTCCAGTTCGATACCCCTCCTCATTCAGATCGACTGGAGACTTGAAAAGCCTAATCGCATAAGCCGGTAGCTAAATCTCCATCGATAGCCGGTGAACACCCTCCTTCCTGTTGGTTTTCTCAGTCGCCTCACCTCTACACCCAATCGCGACATACAAAGATTCAAAAACCCTACCAACAGACGGGTTGAAGTTGGTTTCGACAAGATGACGGGTTGAACCTCCCTAAGCAGTGGGTCGAATCCATGTGGCTCGTGGATCCAAACCTGGTGGTCCTAAAGGTTTACCCAAAGGCCAACGGCCCCAACGTTGGTGCAATCGCCCAAATGGCCCAAACGGTCGTGCATGGGCCTGCCCAAATCTTTCATTACCTAGACTTGAGTTGCACAACCCAGTTTGCCTCCCACCCCTTACATTTTGGCCCAACGCAGCCCCCATATTAGACAGTTGCGGTTGAATTCCCTCAGGCCCATGCCCAAAAGGCTTGCCATGGCCCATATGCCTCTGCCCCAATCTAGGACCCGCTAACCCAGAATGGCCGTTCTGAGATCGTTGCCCACCATCTTGCTCCGCAATCGTCGTACGAAAATCACGGCCACGATCTCGCCCCAGTCTCCCCATCACCGGCAACCATTTTCAAAGCCTACCACCCGGCGACCACCAAGACTGATTTCGACCAATCCACCACCAACTTGGATAAAAACCCTTTAGTACCAAGGCCAAACCTTCCCAACCTTCATCCATCGTAGGAATGAACATCTGTTCGTGCACCACACGAACATGACCACCTGCACCACACGCCCATCCTGCTCTGACCACAGCCACGCTGCCACACTTTGGCTACCACCCGACACGCGACCCGAAAACAGACCACTGTCCCCCGACGCCTCTGCTTGCCGGAGGCGGCCTACTAACCATCTGATCTCCGCCCCATACAGAACTCTCACTGCGGAGACCCTGTCTTCGTTCCACCACCGACACCATACGGCTGCGATCTGCACCAATATCCTCTAACTCGTAAGACCGTGGACCTAAAAACAACAACCTCCGTCGAGGCCCACGCTCTGGCACTAACAAAGGATTGGACGGTCTCCTTCTCCCTCTGTCACGAACGTTCTCTCTCATCTTGGAGAATCACCATGCAAACAAAATCTCCAGATGGATGGAAAGATACAGATCACACATTGTATCCTGGATAACTCGGAATGCTCTTTTTGCTACTGTTTTTGAAAAATCGAAAAACCTTCAAGACGAATTTCTTCAATTCCTCTTTTGTCTGTGGAACCTTTACTATCCCCTTATTCCAAATCCCCTTATATCACGACATGACATTTTTTGTACTCATATTCTTTTGTCTTAATAGCTCCAAATTATTAAATTATACATTGAGATTATCATTCCTCAAAATTCTCATATATTTTAATAGTTGAGAGTGTATTGCAATAGAGAAATAGTAATCTAGAGAGATACCAAAAATCCTTCCTTCAAAGTCACATATTACTACTAATACTGTGTTTTAGCAAAAAGATGCCTGATATGTTACTGTTCATAGCAAAAAGATGCGAGCAAAAACTAGAAAGCATGTGTAAATATATTACTTGTTGCATGGGTAAGTAGAAAGCATGTCCATATAATATGTAAATAGATATACCTGTACAATTACAGTGTTGATATGCCTTATCTTTTCAACATTATCCAACAAGAATGAATCCGAAGCAAAAAAACCCCTTATTCACAAAGTAATGGTTTTCAATCCCTGCAAATGCCTGGATGGAACAGAAGATTTATACATACAACAAGAAGAAGAAAAAAATTCAACAATCTCAAGTAATCACAATTTAAAAGGAACCTACTTATACAGCTTTATAGGATCTGCTGGGTGTGATAGCATTAAGAATAACATCAAAAAGCATTTGTGATGGAATAAAAAGGTATTTAGTACTTATACCAAGGGTATTCAGAATTTGGTATCAGCTAAGACTGTTTTTTTGTAAAGGCAAGAAGAATTTATTAAGTAAATTGTAGTTCAGTGTGAACAAGTACTTTTACACTTGCAAACGCCATAAGATGAATAAAATGACTTTGAAAATACAATGTGTAAAGAATTTAAGTTTGTATAAGTGAACAATCTTTGTCCTTTTTTGAATGGAAAACTTCAGGTCATCACAGTAGATAGAATTGTGAACACCATAAAATCTTCACTTATCTCTAATCTAAAATCTTCAACCCTATACTCGTAAAATTTTGAGGACAAGAAATGAGGAAAAAGTTCAGAATTAGAAGATACAATTTGGATGTAAGCAGGCATAAAGCAACTGGTAGCAAGACAAATATGGACAATAAAAGAATGTTAATTTAACTAGGCTGCTGATGAAAATAATAGGGGAAATTACCTGTCAGTGGTAATTGTAGAAAATTATTACATAAATGGAAAAATTTATAATTTTAGTTATTAATATTGATAAAATTTACCACTAATTCGTAATTATTTTTCAACTTTTACACTGATTTTAAATTCCCCCAAAATAATATAATATACAAGAAACTATACCCTATACAATGAATTGACTCACCAAATGAAAATTTGTCATCATCCCCTTTCTTAATGTTATCTTCATTTGGAAGAAGACGGGCAGTCATCAGTTCCCACTGGGTCCATGCTCTAGCAGCTGCATACTAAAAAGGTAAAAATAAAAAATAATAATAATAAATAAATAAATTAGCGAAACCATAAATTTCTCCATGATAAAGACTACAAGCAGAGTGAATGCAGGCAGAAGTTCGAGAAAACTGCCAGTAACAGAGTTTGCAGCATAAGAAGAGCAATAACTTCAAAGGTTAGAAGGCTGAAGCATTTCATGTTTGAAAGATATCAAAAGTGGTTGGAATGGGTTTTCTAGGAGTCTGATTCTTGGTTGGTGATGGGTTTATTCAATAGTTAAATTAAGACTTTCTGAGCTTATTTACCAGGAGCAGGGAGGGCGAAGCCCTCTCCAAATTCTGTATAGGTAATTTGCATAAACCTCTCTCTTGCATAATTTGCATCTACTTGGGTTGGATGCTGTTCTCCACTCAGAAACTAGAGCTTTCTGGAGTAAAAAAATCAGCCAATATTGATGTAAGATGTGAATGCTTACATCAGGCAAGGCAAGCATTCACAAGAATCATCACAAACTAACTTAATGTGTAAATAGTAAGCATGATAAAAGACAGTATCCCAACTTTTTTGTACCCAACTCTGTAATTTCTCCAAGCAACCATGATTCTACTTGAGAATTCCAAAGTGAATGAAAGCTTGTGACAACAATGGACAATGTAATCAATACATAGAGCTTGAGCCTTAGGAAGTTTATAAATCCCCTTATTTTCTTGAATATTATGTAAGATGTGAAAGCTTACAACAGGCAAGCATTCACAAGAATCATCACAAACTAACTTAAAAGTGTAAATAGTAAGCATGATAAAAGACAGTGTCCCAACTTTTTTGTACCCAACTCTGTAATTTCTCCAAGCAACCATGATTCTACTTGAGAATTCCAAAGTGAATGAAAGCTTATGACAACAATGGACAATGTAATCAATACATAGAGCTTGAGCCTTAGGAAGTTTATAAATCCCCTTATTTCTTGAATATTTGAGGATGTTATGTGAAGAATTCCTTGACAGCAAATTTGACAATCTTTTCGGATGCACAAGTCTTCATAGAGATAATAATAGAGTGCATGCCAAATTGAGTTTTAGGGAGTAACAAATCAAATAATCCAAAGGAACTAAGGAAAGGAGTGCATGCATGCATCAATAAAAATAAAACAATTCTTACTTGTGTTTCCAGATCAACAGAGTTTAATCTCTTCCAGTAGGCATCAATGAAACTTTCCTTTTCATTTTCTAGGATAAGATCTCTAAATGACTCCCAAGCTGTATATTGAGAATAAAATACACAAACATTCAGCCATCTTAAGAAACTAAAATCATCCTCAAGCACAATCAATGTGAGGCAAGGCAACACATCA